CTATTGAAAATAAGTACTTTGTGAACCAGACTGGGGGAGAGGAAGGTACTGGGCCCTCCTAGATGACCAGAATAGCTTTGTCCTCTCACCCTGAGGTGTGCCCTACTCCTCCCCAGCAGAGAAGATTTCTCCCCTTGGCACCTGTCCTCCCTGGATCCAGGCTGGATAGCACTCCCCTCCCTCTTCCCTCAGCTGTCCTTACCCCGTGAAGCAGACTCTCCATGGGCAGTGCCTGCATCAGCATGGGGGTAGCCATCCGAATCTGGTTCACCGGCTTGGGGGCTGGGGGGAAGGGAGTACAACATGAGTGTGGTCCCCGTGCCCAGGAGGGGTCAGGGACTGATCTTAGCCCCCAAGGGAGTGGACAGTGGCCTGGTTAGGTACAGAGGTGTGCTCTCTAAGGTGAGAAACAGTGGAGTGGTGAGGAAAGTGGATACACACGCTTGGGAAGCTTCATGCGCAGGTTCTCCAGCTGCAGGTTCTGGGAGGTGACTGTCAGCTTGTTCAGCCGGCCCTGCTGCTGATACAGAAAGTAGGCAGTGGTGGCCTGGCCAGCCAGGAGCAGAGCCACCAGGACTGAGAAGCCTGTGTAGAGGGCTCCACGGCTGCACTTCCTGTAGAGAGAGGGGTTTAAGTCAGAGGCTAATGCAAGGAGCTGTTCCAGTGACAGAGTGTAAGGGAATATGTCTGTTAGCCACCCTAACAGACACACGTTAAACCCATTCACTGAACTCCCGGTGGACGTGCAGCTTAAAGACACTCCCAGATTCTTTCAACCACTCAGGTTCCTAAAGTCCTCTTAAGTAGAAATCCCAGAGCTTCCCTTGGACTGTTTGAATGAGAAGGAGTCAAGTTCCTTGCCCTCTTGGCACCTGGTTGTGCCATCTTGCAGTCAAAGTAGGAGTGCCTCCTTTGTTACCTCTGCCGTGAGGACCTTTCGAGGATCAAGGCAACCCTCACTGTTTTTTTTTATTATTTTTATTATCATTATTATTACTTTGGGGGACAGTCCTGGAGCTTGAACTCAAGGTCTAAGTGCTGTCCCTGAGCTTCTTTTTGCTCAAGGCTAGAGCTCTATCACTGGAGCCACAGCTCCACTTCTGCCTTATTGGGTAGGTTAGTGGAGATAAGAGTCTTACAGATTTTCCTGACAAGGCTGGCTTCAAACCACAATACTCATATCTCAGCCTTTTGAGTTGCTAGAATTACAGGCCTGACCCACTGATGCCTGGCTTGAGTTGTGGTTTTGTTGTTGTTGTTGTTAGCAAAAAAGGCACATGCCATTTACCATATAAGGAGTGTTTCCTCCCACCCCTGGGCAGTGAGATCAGATTTAAGGAGAAAAGGGAAGGAAAAGTGGACCTTTTGAAAAGGGGAAGTGGAGCCTGGACAGTCTAGGAGTTTGGCATTACCCCGCAGGGACATTCCTACACCAGATTTTCTGTGTGTCCTGGACAGCCTTTGAGCCCTAATGCTTTCATCTGCCTTGGCTTTGGCTTTCTTCTTGCAAACAAGATCTAACAATGAGCACAGAATTATCTCATGGTGATATCTGCAGAACTGTAGGCATCTATGCCTAGCTGAACTACTCATGTTCTTTGGACTGGTCAGCTGCCCAATGAGGGGTGGTCAGACCCTCAAACCTCAGGGTTCCAGGGTGCAAACACATGTTACTATACAGGACCCTGTCCTCCCTCCACTCACCCAGAGAGTGTGAGGGGACTACTGGGATCCTGTCATCATCTCAACAGATCCCCTCAAATTCATCTGATGCCAATATGATGATGAATGGGAATAGAAACTTTGGCAGAGGGACTGGGTTTTTTTCTCCCTTCTGTTTTCTGCCTTGTAAAATCACAGCCAGATGCAAACACTTGATCTTGGGCTTCCCAGTCTCCAGTATGGTGAGGAATCAACTTGTTCGTTATAAACTACCAGCCTTTGGTATTCTGTTACAGCTGCTTAAACTGGCCAAGGCACACCCTGCTAGAAATTGTCAGGATGCATCCTTGCCCCCTTACTCCAGTGAGGATAGTTTTAGGAACCGCTTAAGACACCCTTCTGCCTAGTAACTCATGATGTCACAGACATGGCTCATTCTCATTGGCTCTATGCTTGCCAGCCCTCCTTGCTTCCTGTTCTAAGGTCCAGGACAAGGGAGAAACACTATTGTAAGGGGAAAGGGAGGAGATCAGCAAGACGGGGAAACAAATTCCACTTCTTGACCTTCCCAAAGGATTAGCCTGGGCTCTAAAGCCAGTAACAAGTTTAGTTCAAGCTTCACCACTTGCACTCGGGCACCCCAGAGTACAACCTACACCTAGTTCTAGTCCTGGCTTTTCCTCACACCATGTGAGTTTATGGAAGCCCAGGGCCTTCTCCTCTCAAAAAGCAAATAAAACCGTGGCTCACACCTTTAATCCTAGCTACTCAGGAGGCTGAAATCTGAGGATCACAGTTCAAAGCCAGCCTAGGCAGGAAAGGCCGTGAAACTCTTATCTCCAATTAACAATTAACCACCAGATAAAAACAGAAGTGGTGTTTGTAGCTCAAGTGGTAGAGGACTAGCCTTGAGCTGAAGCACTTAGGCCCAGAGTTTAAGCCCCATGACCGACAAAAAAAAAAAAAGAAAAAGAAAAAAGCAAATAAACTGACAGATTCCTATTGAAAATGAGATCATGTAACCTGGCTTGGAATCCTGGCTCTGTCACTTACTTAGCATTGGGACCATGGAAAAAAATCACTTAGCCTAACACAGACAAAAAGAGGATTAACTAAAAGAGAAGTAAATAAGAAAATGGAGTAACATTTTTGGCTTCATAGTGAGCATGTTATTAATGCTCTATAGGTAAATAAAGTACTGTTCTCAGAGGAGCTAATAGTTAAGGTGAGCATCAGACTTCCTTCCTCTTTATGCCCCTCAGTTGCCTATCCCCTGGCTCTGCTACAATGCAGCTCTTGTCACTTCCCCTTTTCACTTCCTCCTTTGCTTTGTCTCCTTGTGGAATTAAAAAAAAAAAGTAATTGGCCAAAGTCAGGAGCCAATCAGAACTAGCAACAACCATGATATAGCTGTTGCCGGGCAGAAGTGTTCAGGAAAGGCTCTGAATGAGGTTTGGTCTGTGATGGCCTGAGCACACAGGGCTAGGTCAGTCTTTAGAACTAAAGTGAAAACAAGAGAAACTGACGGGCGGGCCACCCTCTCTGAACACTGAGTCCACATGGATCTGCAACTCACTGGGTGGCCTATGGTCAGAAGACTACATCTCTGCTCCCCACAAATCCTGCCTTCTAAAGGGAGCTCAAATTGAAGTCAAACTAAGTCCTGGTTTAAATGCTGTCTCATGGGCTGGCTCACTGGTAGAGAGCTTGCCTTGCATGCATGAAGCCCTAGGTTTGATTCCTCAGCACCACATAAGCAGAAAAAGCCAGAAGTGACGCTGTGGCTCCAGTGGTAGAGCACTAGCCTTGAGCTGAAGGGCTGAGGATCAGGCCCAGAGTTCAGGCCCCACAACCAACAAAAGAAAAGAAAATCTTTTTGTCTCAAGTACACCAGCTGTGTGAGCTCAGGCAAGTTAATTAACCATATAAGCCCGAATTTTGTGTAAAAATGGTGATAAATATGCCCAACTCAAGATCACAAAGAATGAAGTTTAGCTTTTGGTATCTGCCTGGGACGTAATCAGATAAACAGTTGATGAGGACTGGTAACCAGCAGAATAGATGAGAACTATTATTGAGGCCATAGTTATTATTATTGAGACCTATAGAGAAGCAGTGATTTATCCAAGGTCCACCCATGGCACTAGCAGAAACTGGACCCGAATCCATTCCTCACAACAGATAGGAGGAGATGGGGTCCCATAGGATAGCCATGGGAGTTCACAGGCTGCTGCTCTAATACTCTATAGTTACCTTCACATGACTTCTTTCAGAGTCTCTCTCAAGCTCCTGTCTGCCTGGCAACAGCTGACATCACATCTGGCTGCAAGTCTCTACAGATAACAAATTACTTCCTGAAGTAATGGGTATGGGGGCGGGCAGCTGAATTTAATCACATTTAGGGAGTTTCAGGGGGAAATACATGGTTGAGGCAATCTTGTGTCTGGGATAGGGGCCAGGGGTTCTCTAGATAGCCGTGCCAACTTTTTGCTGTGAAAGAGGGGTCCAGAGCACCATATGCCATACATTGACCCTGAGCCCCTTCTAGAAACTCAGTCAGGGCTCCTGCCTGCACTCTGAACTGCAGCTGTGATCGCAGACGCTTTCCTCTGCCCCTCACAGAGAGGCTGATTCCCTTCACTCAGATACCTGTGCCCACTGGAATTGGGGAACTCTGTGAGGAACTGCTTCTAGCATCCTCTTTTAGAAACTTCCTCCACTAGGATCCAGAACATTTTTAAATTTGGTCCAAATTTTCTAACCTGGGATTTATAGCCCAGCTTCAAGGGTGATAGGTGAAATTCTCAATCGTGAGCAGCTCTAGGGGGCAAATTCGGGCTCTCTTCTGATTTTCAGAAGTGAGGAGGGAGAATTGTACAGAGAAATTGACAAACCCAGGGCTCCGAAGGTAGCTCAGTGGTAGAGTGCTTGCCTTGCATGTATAAGGCCCTGGGTTCGATTCCTCAGCACCACATAAGCAGAAAAAGCCGGAAGTGGCTCAAATGATAGAGTGCTAGCCTTGAGCTGAAGAGCTGAGAGACAGCGCCCAGGCCCTGAGTTCAGGCCCCATGACTAGCAAAAAAAAAAAGAAGAAGAAGGAAAGAAACAAAAAGAGAGAGAGAAAGAAAGAAAGAGAAATTTACAAACCCTTGCTCATTTTCAAGGGAGGGAACTAAGAACCAGAGAGGACAGAGACTGGCTCAAAATCACTCAGAAAGTCAGTGTTGGCACCAAAGAGTCAAGGCCACCTTCATGTGACTCAGGCTAGTGTTCCTGGATACCTGCAAGTCTGAATTATCTAGAATTTGCCCTCTTCTGGTGTTCACACATACCTCTCCTGGGTTCCAGGGCGCTGACCCAATATGGGCAGTTGCTCGTGGTTAGAGATTAAATCACTCTGGTCTTCCATGGCTTTGGCCTCTGGTCTTCCCCACGGTCTTTGCTGCTGCTGCTGTTGCTGCTGTTGCTGCTGCTGCTGCTGCTGCTGCTGCTGCTGCTGCTGCTGCTGCTGCTGCTGCTGCTGCTGCTGCCGCCACCACCAAGTAGTCTGGGACCCGAGCCTCTGCTAACTTCTTAAAGTTGGTGCTGAGGAGGAATCTGATTGGTCCACAGGAGGACACTCCACCTACCTGGTAGATGTGGAAGTGAAAGCCACCAAGTTGGAAATACCCACTCAAGCAAAGTTGCCTCTTATCTGGGGGGAGGAAGGGGAAGGGGAGCTCCCCAGGCAGGTAGAAAGGCCAGCACAATCTCATTGGCTGACCAGGAATCTCATCACTTGTTTCCAGGCAGACCTTTGGATTCATAAGGCTCTTTGTATGTTTCCAGAAACAGGCAAACAAATATTCTCCCTTGACAGCAAATCACTTTGAAGCAGAAAGTCTTTTATTTGTCTTCATTTCTCATTGGGCAAGGAGGGTTTATGTCTCCCCTGTGAGCTTAGGTAAGGTCTCTTCTCCCTTACCTAACATGGACTCAGCCCATCTGAGAGTATTGGTGTGAAGGCTCTAACAGTAATACTTGCCACCATTTTCTAAACCTCCTTTGTGTCAGACACAGTGACTGTCATGCTCATGTTGTAGTACCTTCGTTCCAGGTGGAGCCCCTGAGGCCTGGAGCCCTTGTGTTCTTAGCTATTCTACTCTCTTCCTAATACTGAAATTATGTGGTTCAAATGCAGGAGAATGGGGGCCTCTTCAGGGAGTGAAAAAGGAAGAGCTGGCAAAGGGCTCAGGGGAGATTGAACAGTATTGGCAAAGTTTTATCACCTTGTTTCTGTACCTGTACACTGACATAGTAAGAAATATGTTTGATCTCTGTCTCTAGTTCTTGACACAACAGCTGCTAAGACCTTGGAATTTTGGAGTGATGTTTATTGGTTGTTTCTGTACTAGTACTGGGTCTTAAGCTTAAAGCCCTGTCCTCTTACTTGGCTTTTTCACTCAAGGCTGGCTCCATGTGGAGCCATGCCTCCACTTCTGGCTTTTTGCTGATAATTGGAGAAGAGTCTCAGATTTGTCTGTCCAGCCTGGTTTGAACTTAAATCCTCAGATCTCAGGCTCCTGAGTAGTTAGAATTTCAGGAGTAAGCCACCAGTGCCCAGCTTTAAAATGTCTTTTTGGGGCTAGGAATGTGGCTTAGTGGTGGAATGCTTGCCAGCATGCATGAAACCCTGGATTCGATTCCTCAGTACCACATAAACAGAAAAAGCTGGAAGTGGTGCTGTGGCTCTAGTGGTAGAGCACTAGCCTTGAGCAAAAAAAGGGCAGGCTTAAGCCAGGTGCTGGTGGCTCCCACCTGTAATCCTAGATACTCAGAAGGCTGAGATCTGAGGATCATTGGTTCAAAGCCAGTCCAGGCAGGAAAAAATCCCCATGAGACTCTTATCTCCAATTAACCACTCAAAACTGGAAGTGGCACTGTGACTCAAATGGTAGATGGCTAGCCTTGAGCACAAAGAGGCTCAGAGACAGCACCTAAACCCTGAGTTCAAGCCCTACGACCAGAAAAAAAAAAAAAAAGATGTCTTTTTGGCCAAGTTTCAGTGGCTCATACCTGTAATCCTAGCTACTCAGGAGGCTGAGATCTGAGGACTGAGGTTCCAAGCCTGTCCAGGCAGGAAAGTCTGTGAGACTCTTATCTTTAATTAATCACAGAAAGAGCTGGAAGAGGAGCTGTGACTCAGGTGGTAGAACACTATCCTTGAGCAAAAGGAGATCAAGGACAGCGCCCAGGCTCAGAGTTCAAGTCCCAGCACTGGCAAAAAGAAAAACAAGATGACTGGTGGCTGAAAGCTGCCCATCAGCTTCAGGATGGGGACTGGTTGCCAGAGGAACCAACCATGTGCAGAAAGGCTTGGGACATTGAGGGAGAAGAAGGAATGAAATGGAGTTTAGCCACTGCTGGTCAATTATTTCTTCATGTCTTCATCATGGAACTTCCATAAAATCTCTCAACAGGGCTTCTGTGCCCTTGCCCCAGGAGAGTGTTTCACCCCATTCTACAGATTTTCTTGTGCCAGAAATCCTTCCCATCCACCTCACCTGGTATACCTCTTTATCTGACTGGTCTTCTGTGTCCTTCCTAATCCACTGGTAATAGAGCAGTGTGAGCCCGAGTGCTTCACTCCCTCCCAGAGAACAGACTGGAAGCTTCTTCCCAAATACAGGGAACAGAAGCCAGGACTTTTTCTTCTGTCACCATCCTGAACCCCAAGACTGGTGAATGATAGCACCTGTTGGGGAAAAGATTCAGTTGGAGCTGAGGTGGGAAATGTCCAGTCTGCAGGCCATGGAAGGCCTAGGAAGGCATTTGGTCTGGCCTGGCCAAGACAACTGTAGGAAGGTTTCAAAGTTCAGTCAATCCAGAAACTTTATTCATAGCAACATAAAGTTATATTAAGTGAATCCCAAGGATTTGGAAGGACAATCAAGGAATGTCCACCATAGGATAGACAAGTACACAACAGGCTGCTCAAGTGTACTTGCCATTAGCTCCCTGTAGCCAGTCCACCTGTATTGTGATGACTCAAGCCAGTCAGTGCCAGATAGGCTGAGAGTGTACATGTGAGAATATTAACACACTGTGGCAAAACTACAGATCCATGATGAGAGAAGGTGCAAGGAGATGTCTCCCCTTCAGGCTGATGATCTTGCCTCCAAGATCAACGATGTTGTTGATTTCCTTGTCAATATAGATAACTCCAAACCAACATTTGTCTGTATATCTGTGATCAAGAATCCTTAAAGAACCTGGGCACCTGTGACTTACGCCTGTAATCCTAGCTATTCAGGAGGCTGAAATCTGAGGATCACAGTTCAAAGCTAGCCCAGGCAGGAAAATCTGTGAGACTCTCATCTCCAATAAACCACCAGAAAACCAGAAGTGGTGCTGTAGCTCAAGTGGTAGAGCACTAGCTTTGAGCTGAAGAGCTGAGGGACAGTGCCCAGGCCCAGAGTTCAAGATCCATGACCAAAAAAAAAAAAAGGGATAGCACCTAGGCCTGGGGGGAGGGGGATGCGCATGCACGCATGCATGCACGCACACACACACACATACACACACACACACACACACACACACACACACACACAGAGTGTTAGTTTGACCCATCTCACCACTGCACATCAGATTCCTGACTTAGCACAAGATATTTTAAGACATTGAAGGGGGGCTGGGAAGGTGGCTCAATGGTAGAGCGCTTGCCTCGCATGCATGAAGCCCTGGGTTCGATTCCTCAGCATCACATAAGCAGAAAAAGCCAGAAGTGGCACTGTGGCTCAAGTGGTAGAGCACTAGCCTTGAGCTGAAGAGATGAGGGACAGTGCCCAGGCCCAGAATTCAGGCCCTACTTCCAACCAAAAAAAAAAAAAAAAAGACCTTAAAGGATTTTCTCTCTGGCTTGTAATGAGACATGCATTTAACACCTGCACAGCTGGCTTTGTGTGTGGGATAACTACAGTATGACAAGCAAGAACTACTGTCACTAGGAGCTATGCATGGCACTATAAGAGGTGAGGACTTGTTTAAGAGACTTGTTTTTACCAATTAAAATCTTGAGCTAGTATTTAAAAAGTTAACTGGACACCAGTAGCTCACATCTATAATCTTAGCTACTTAGGAGGATGAGATCTGAGGATTGTAGTTCAAAGCCAACGCTGGCAGGAAAATCCATGAGACTATTAGCCCCAATAAACTACTAAAATAGCTAGAAGTGGAGCTCAATTGGAAGAATGATAGCCTTGAGCAAAAGAAGCTCAGGGAAAATGCTGAAGCTCTGAATTCAAGCCCAGGACCAACACACACACAATAATTTCAGTGTTTTGTTTTGTTTGCCAGTATTAGAGCTTGTACTGAGGGCCTCATGTTCTCATGTGCTTATTTTACTTAAAATTGATACTCTTAGCTTAGGTGGCTCATGCCTGTAATCCTAGCTACTCAGGAGACAGAGATCTGAGGATCATAGTTCAAAGTCAGCCTGGCAGGAGAGTAGTGAGACTCTTATTTCCAATTAACCACGAGAAAACCAGAAGTGGTGCTGTGGCTCAAGCGGTAGCACTTGCCTTGAGCTGAAGAGTGCAGGGACAGCACCCAGGCCCAGAGTTCAAGCCCCAAGACCGACCAAAAAAATTTTTTTTGATTCCCTGGACTGGCTTTGAGCTGTGATCTGTAGATCTTAGGTTCCTGAGATTATAGTCCTGAGCCATCAGTTCCTGGTTTATTTCAGTTTTGTTTTGTTTTGTTTTTTTTGCCAGTCCTGAGTCTTGAACTCATTGCCTGGGCACTGTCCTTGAACTTCTTTTTGCTCAAGGCTAGCACTCTACTAATTGAGCCACAGTGCCACTTCTGGCTTTTTCTATTTATGTGGTACAGAAGAATCAAACCCAGGGCTTCATTCATGGTAGACAGTACTCTACTACTAAGCCACATTCCTAGCCCTTATTTCAGTCTTAATCCAAATAACTTAATAATATGTCATTTCATCATATACTAAGAAAGTCTTTGTGCACAATCATTGCAGTTCAACAATGTGATGTCAACAGTAGAGTCATACACACATTTTGTTAAAAGCAGTTTAACAGCTGTCAGTTTAAGGAATTATTGAATGATCTTGACTTGGAGTATGGAGATCTTGCTTATCACCATCAATGGCACAGAAACTCATGAGGTTTTTATGAACTGAAGCATCAAGTTAAGCAGTTCATGGAGACAAAAGGAAGACCTGTCGGAAAACTCAGTGATAGCAAGCGGCTGTGTGACCTAGGATTTACACTGAACATTTCCAAGTACCTCCCAGAGCTGTGTGGCAAACTACAAGGCTCCACTCTGCTTCTTACCCTTGGTTTTCAAAAGTGAAATAATCACCTGTAATCCTAGCTACACAAGAGCCTGAGACCTGAGGATTATGGTTCAAAGCCCACCTGGGCAACGAAAGTCCATGAGACTCTTATCTCTAATAAACCACCAGAAAACTGG